GGGGGAGACGGCAGTGCAGCTGTTTCCGGGATATGGTCAAGTATGGTGGTTCGCTCGGACGATGCTGATGTGGCGGCGGCGGAAACGACCCTGTGGTGCCGGATGACGGCGTCGCCGTACTGCACGGGGTTCAAAGCAGCGCCGTTGGTCAGCTCTTGAGCTCGCTGAATCTCGAGAATTCTGCGATTCTCCGCGGCTACTTGCTCTGGGGTCGGAGATCCGTAGACGGCGTCGACTGCGTTAACGGAGATGAATTGTGTTTCACCGTCTCCGTTAGTTTTGAATTGGAATTCTAGAGCTTCGGCTGCTGGAAACAGGGGAATCAGATGGTTTTCCATTTTTCCTTTGTTTTTCTTGCTTGCACTGGGGCAACAATGGTGAACAGTCAGACAACAACTCAATTTGCAGAACAAAATAAAAAATCAAAAATCAAAAATCAAAAATCGAAGCTTAAAACAGATAATTTGCGGCACATAAAAATTAAAAACCCTAATCTTCCAATTTCGTGTTTGCCGTTTCAATTGTGACAGCGAAGAGGAGAACACACACTCACCGGAAAATACACAAATGCAGAGTCTTGCCGGAAGCAAATGACGAATTCGCCGGTGAATAAGAAAATGGCTCTGTACTTGGAGAGAGAGAGAGAGAGAGAGAGAGGGGGCAGAGTTGTATTTTAGGGCGGGCACCTTTTTTTTGAAATTATTTTAGACGAGAGTACAAGTATTCTAATGCACAAGGCACAATCCCTTAAAGCATATAATAATCAAATAATATAAATTAATGTACAAGCAGCCAAAGAACAACGTACAAGTAATTATTAAAATAATCACTTAACTAGCAAATGATTCACATAATCTCAATTTATTACTTACAAATTAAGCAAGCTTGGCGTAGTTTCACTCAGCCAAATCTTTTGCTCTCAAAAATTATTCAAGCAAGATATTTTTTCGAATGGGAGCTTGTTTACGGCTGACCTTGGCAATCGACCTTCGGCAACATGGCGAAGTATTTGGATGGCTAGGGAAGCGCTTTGGGTATTCGGAAAAGAATCGGCGATGGAAAAACAACCCCCATTTGGCCAGACCCTTGGTTAGCTGAGGATGGGAGTCGTAAGATTCTCACACCTCGACCAAAGTTCTCCTCATTTTCGAATAGGGTTACAGACCTTATTGACCAAGGTTCGAGAATGTGGTGTATAAAATTACCGGAAAAGCCGATTTTAGTTCCGAATTTTCTATGGTTTCTTGAAATATATAATATAATTTTATGATATATTTTGTAATTTTATAATATAACTTATGTTATATTTCATAAGAAAAATATAAATATCAAATGGTCAAGTAAATTAAAATATAAAAAAAAATCTATTTTCCAGTTTGTTGTTCCTACATGTTTTTATTTATTGCGTTTTATCGAACTCTCTTTTGAATTTTCTTGTATTTTCCCGCAAAATTAAAAACAAACAGAAAAAGATGGTGAAAATTTCCATTATATCCTAATTTAGAACAAGAGATTATAAATCTAATGTAGTTTTCGAAATTCCGCCGATTATGAGGCATTCCGAAATCGGAATGAATTTTTGCATTCCAATTTTTTTTGTAACAAAAATTGGAACCCATTTTCCATTTCCAAAAGGAACAAGAAAATTTTCCAGAAAAATCATTTCCGGAACATTTCATCCAATTTTCACTCTTACACGTGTGTAATTGATAATTATTCCCGTTTGATGTAAATAATAATTTTAAAAAGATAATTAATATAATAATAAGGGATTATTTTGCAGACTCCCCTTATTTCCAAATTATATAGAACTAACTATATATCAAGTGGATTACACTTTAGGGGAAACCCCCATCATTTCGAATATATTTTGACATACTCCCCTCGGCCACCCTAAAGTACCTATAATGCCCCTTTAAAATCAGTTTTAAACCCTAGTCACTTACAGCCGTCTCTCTCTTCCTCTCTCAACTCCTAGATTCAAATCTCGCCTGCATATATCTCCAATCGGCGAAGTTGCTTCCCAGAGTCATAACTCTCTCTCCGGTGGTCGGAATTCGATGGTTTAACTACCGTTGGATTCCTCTCCGACACAAAAAATAATTAATGTTGGTCAAATTTATTTAGGGTAGTTATTGGGCCAGATTCAGGAGGCCCAATAGAAGTATTCGATGGCCCAAAAAATTATTTTTTTTTGAAAAAAAAAAAAGAAAAAGGAAAAACGGGGCTGAGTGTAGTGGAAAGAACAATTTTGGAATTATAAAAGAAGGGAAAGGCGAGTATGCGTTTATATCAAATAGTGAAATATGTGTTGTACCTTTCCGTATAACAAAAAAAGATTTGGGGGGTTTTTTCAAAAAAAATAATTGCCATGCCATGCATGTATGCGTAAAATTAAGAAACTACGTACCAAATATAATTCACGTAGAATTATTGTGGTTGTTGGAAATAGAATCTATGATGCCAAAAAGGAAACGAAAAATCGAAAGCAGAATCTACTACTCAAGTTATGCTGCCTAAGATACAAAATAATATCTAAAAATAGATAATCAAAATTGGTCTATATATATATATATATATATACTGAATTACTATCATCAATCAAATTAAATACGTACTCGAAAAAAAGTTGAAAAGATCGAAGATCGAAAAAAAGGAGGAGAAAAGATCGAAGAGATGGCGGGAGAGGGAGATGAAGAAGAAGCTGGTTGAGAGCGTCC